AGCAGCGCCACGTTTTTCTTCAAAACGGCATGAGGTACAAAATTTTTATTGGTGGTACAAATTAGTACAAATTGGGTACTAAAAAATTGGATAGGTCCGGTTTGATTCTGCTCATTTGGTTCTGCTAGCTTGATAGAGGTTCGAATATTTGATATACATACAATAAATATATAATGAACACAATAACCTTAACTGGTTTTGTGATTATAATAAATTAAACTGATTTTGTGTCTCAAGCAAAAAACGATGACTTTGTCCCTTAATACATGTTTGTTAATGTTTGAGTTTCATTGCTTTATGTATTTGTTTTGTATTGCCACAGATTCGTGAATTATGTTTTACGTATATTATTTTAATTATCTTGAGATTAAATGATCAAAATACATATATCAAATTATATATATATATCTAGTTAAAATTATGTCACATGTCGGGAACATATCGAAAATTGAGTTCAAAGTCGGAAAAATGCGTCGTTTACTCGGAAGACGCACGGCGATCCGCCGGGTGGGGGAACTGGGAAAGTCGCGACTCGACATGTTCATGCAGGCGCACGGGACTTTTCGTTGCGCCTGATATTTTCGCTATTAAATATAGTATTTTTAATAACAATTTCTTTATTTGTAACGACAAAACATAATGTACACACTGCATATCATCGACACATGCAGCGTAGCGACTTGTCTCGCAAATGACTGCGACAGCACGCATTTTTCCAACTTTGAACTCAATTTTCGATGTGTTCCTGACATGTGATGTAATTTTAACTAGCACCATTGGATTCTTCGTCTCAAAGACTATAAGAAAATTTATAAGAGAAATAAGATGTTAATTTTACTTTCCACAAGCGAGATAAAAATCGGCCTTTTCGTAATACCTTTCTTTCAGCACAGCTTGTTCTCGCCACTCGAGACTCGACGACCGATTGCGCGTGTCTCAAGAAAGTCCCCGTATCACAAATATGCTGATTGGAAATGGTGTCTTTCATCAAACCGTCATTACGTTTTTTTTCTTTGCTAAATATTTATTTTTATACATAATTAAACACTATATTCTTTAGTATTACATGTTTTATAATAATGCAGCTATGATAATAATGTATAATAATTACAGTTTTGATAATAGCTTTTGTATCATAAAATATTTTTTTAAGAATAGAGTAGAATTTATTCTCTTCATTTCTCTCTTATAAAAATTGACAAGAAAAAGAAATTGACACCCCATTTTCGAAAATTCAAAATGTTATCGACTTTCAATTGCACCTATAATAATTCTAATAATTCTACAGTTCCTAGATAGATTAGAACAATAGTTCCGTTGATTTGATAAAAAAAATTTAAACAATGGCGAAATTCTACCAACTTTACACCGACTAAAGGCATTTGATTTACAAAAATTTAACTTAACACACTTATCCATCCATTCATTCTACATAACTACTTAAATTAAAACTAAGCCTAAAAATATACATTACATCTCTATTATAATATTGATTCCATGTTACAGTACTGCACAGCCTGAAGCGTTTTTATTTTATATTGGGTTCTCTTATACTTATTCTATCTTTTCCTCTATATTCTTAATCCTTTACCTTACTCTTTCTACAACGACTCCTCCACTTCTTTTACCCCTTCTTCGAATCTTCTCTTCCGTCTCAACTCCCTTTCTTTCTATAAGTTCTTTAGTATCATACTTTTTTCTCTATTTAATTTTTTCTCCTTTAATCTACTTAAAATTTTTCTTTTATCTTTACCTAGCTCCACAACCCACTTTATCCTCGCACACTCATCCACATAATGCTCTAAATAGTTCATACTCAAATAACAGAAAACACAGCTCCATACCTCTCCTCCAACCAGTATTTGTTAATCTCTTCCATTTATTCCCACATTTTAATTTTACTAATACCCTAACTCCATCTCCTAATTCAGTTTTCTTTAACATTAAGTTCTCTTTTCTCAAATAGTCTGCTTTCCTCTCCTTTAAACCTATCTTTTTATATCTCTTATCATATGTCGCTTCCGCCTTTCTATTATCCTCTGCCTTTATATATCTCTTTTTCTTCCTGTTAATTCCTCTTCAAAATTTTCTCGTATTATGAAATATTATTATAGCTGCGTGTTTAAAATATCGTACATTCCGAGCGTATTTCTTCAAAATATAAAACATTAATAATAAACACTGTAGTGTAAAATTTTGTATGAAAATATAAATAATTTAGAGAAAAAAAAATATTTCATTGATGATTTGATGAAAAGTACGATTTCAATATATTTCTGATACAGGGGCACTTCTGATACATTACATGATCGGCCACCAAATCGAGCGCCGGTGAAGAGTCACAATTGGTATCGTTTCAAAAATCAATCCGACAATGAAAAAATAACAGACAATAAAGACTAGCTCGTACTTGCTAATAACAAATTATGAATAGGCCAAACTAACGAGCTTATTTAAATGAGGATGGCAGCGTTTTTATTATAACAAAATTATTCTTAATAACTAAGCATTATATATAAAATGATCATCGCTATACTTGAACACTATACGCGGTACATGTTTTAACCTATATTGACCTCAACAAATTACAATTAAAATATAATTGAAAATATATTGAAATTGACTCTACGAATGTAACGTATTAATTTATATATTATGGTCTTATATTTTATTTGTAATTTGTTGAGGTGGCTGAAGAAGACCAATCTAGGTCGAAACATGTACCACGTATAACGTCCAAGTATAGCGATGATCATTTTATGTATAATACTTAGAGTTATTTAAAATAATTTTTTTATAATAAAAACACTGCCATTCTTGTTTAAATAATCTCATTAGTTTGGCCTATTCATAAAGAATAACAGATTATTTTAGATCTCATTTAAAATTAAAACTAAAAATTTAAAGGTGATGCAGAATTTGAATAAAAAATTATTCAAAGAAATAATGACAAAAATTTCAATATTTTTATAAGTTTATTTTTTTATAAGTTATAATCTTTAAGGATTAGTTGTATTGCTCCTGCAAAAACTAATTAGAATTGAAAATATGTTAATATTTATACTTTTTGTATTAAAATAATTGTTATATACATATGAAACAATGTCAATATTTATATTTAATAACATTTTATTTGTAGTTTATTTCTTATAATTTTCTTTTCAATCTACATACTTCTTATTGAATATATTTTTATCCAGATCCTGAATTGCCGCCTAATTTTTAGTATTTTCAAATGTAACATAGAACAATTTGTAATTTTTTCGTAAATTTGAAAAATAGATGTAATCATCCTTAAGTATTCAAGATGATTTATATATGTAAAGTTTCATTGCAATGCAGGTTGTAATTATTCTATAAATAAAAATTTAATTTTATTTGTAGCATCATTAATTTTGTTTGTATCTTTAATAAAAATTTTATTTTTTATAAATAAATACATCTTTTTAATCTGATTTAGATCTTTGTGATTAATAATATTTCAATGTAAATTTATGTACAATACATAAACAGTTCTAAGTTTCTCAATAAATTCAATGTTTTAATATCTAATTATTACATTCATTAGATTGCTTGACAATTAAATTCGTTATTTTAGTATTCCAGTCTTAATTAGGATTGCATTTCAAGATAGAAAAATGAATGGACACGACTTAATATATACGGTCGTGGGCAGGATGATTACGACACTTTTTTTTATAAATTTTGGAATATACTCATATTTTGCAAATCACAATTGGTGTACTATCTCTAGAGGCTAAAAACAGTACACCAAAAGATGTGATTTCAAAAGAAAGTGCAATTATAATGATTCCGTTCACGACCATATATAAATTTACATTGAAATATTATTAAGTAGCTAGGAAAGTCTAGCTCAGAAAATGCATTTGTACTTTTTAGTTGTGTATTTAGATATCGGTCTAATAATATTAACACTCATTATTAATTTAATTTTTATTTATAGAATATCTACTCTGTATTGCAATGAAACTTAACACATTAATTATTTTGAATACTTAAAGGCGAACTTACCGTAGGACGACTATCAAAGCATTGCTAAGTATTACACATGAAAGAATTTCGGAACGGAAGTTATAAAGTTGTTATTATTAAGTTAACAATAATTAATGCGCGTATAGAAATATTTTCATATGTACGTTAAATAATCGAGCGCAATTATGTAAAAAATCTCAATCTTTCCATTTTATTACTATTATAGGAAATAGAAATTTGGAAACATGGTCCGCTACTACTGTTCGACGAGCCGGATTATGTGAAAATCACTTTACTCCAGAATCGTTTAATCCTAAGAGTGCAAGAAAAGCATTGAAACGTGATGCACTGCCAATTCCATATGACTCAATAGTTGCTGAAAAAAGTTCCAACGAATCTGAAGAAAAAAGGAAAAATTTAAATGAAATAGAGCCTCACGTGAAAGAAAATATGACGGGGCCATCAGACTCTGCTGAGATGAATGTTGAGTCATTTACATCTAATTCCGACGATCTACCAATAAATGAGCAACTATTTCAAAAACCTCCACTGAAAACTTATAAGTCACCACATTTAAAGTTCCAGCGGGATATTCCAGCGGGAAAAGATGTAATAGAATGGGCGCATATAGAACCACCTGTATGTGAAGGAGTCTTGGTGGCTACTTTGCAAAATAATGCAAATAGTAAAGAAAGTGAAAAAAATAAAGAAAATAATGTAACAAAAAAACTTAATAGTTCAGACAATATGGTTAAATCTTTAAAAGTAACAAAAAAACTTAATAGTTCAGACATTATGGTTGAATCTTTAAAAGCTGAGAATGTTCGATTGCGGAATATACTGAAGCGTTTAAAATATCGCATGCGTAAAGCAAAATGTACACAAAAATATGGACAGCTAAGAGGACGGAAACAAAAGAAAAACCTTTTAAAGAAATTGATAGATGAGCAAGATCTGCATCCTGTTGCAAAAACTATGATCAATTTGCAATTGCATACATCACATGAACCATATACGGAAGAAGAAAAAAATCTATCAAAACAATTATATTGTTATTCACCTTCTACATTCTGCTACTTGAAAAGAGCAGGTTGTAATTTTCCTGGAGGACGAACTATGAGGAGATGGCTAGAAGAATGTAACACAAAACCAGAACTTTGTGATGTTATTGATTTGAAAGATTAAAAGAAAAAAATTCTTATTTCTGCTATATATTGGAGAAAAGAGTGCTCAAAATGGAACTTATTGTAATATATAGTATATGAATATACAGGGTGAGTCAAAGTGTTACAGATTTATATAATTTATACCTTAATAATTTATACCTAGAAAACAAAGTATTTTAGAGAAAAATGTTTTGTTCAAAAGTTATATGGTTTGAAGGAAGACATAAGATGTCTCCGATGTCATTGGCTTGATCTTTAAAGATCATGAAGATCATTTTTAATTTCTTAAATAAAAATTTCCATTTTTTATTACATATTAAAATTTATCTCGAGAGCTTTCCAAACACTAATAAATTATTTTTTCATTAATTTTTCATTAACATTACTTTTCGAGTTATAAGGTTTAAAAGTTATATTACCGCCGGCATTGGCATTACCCAAGATGTAGATTGCCCAGTTGAATTTACACCTCTTATGCATGCGTGAGAGAGAGAGAGAGAGAGAGAGAGAGAGAGAGAGCGGCGATGTGTCCCGCGAGAGTGAGGAGGGGCTGCGTGATACATGCGTTATCCCGCGGATGCACAATGCGAGCGAGCCGCGTAATGCGATTCGTCCGTCACTGGTTTTCGGTTGGCGCCTCTTTTGATCGCCCGCCTCATCGTATCGATGAACAATATCGCTACTTTGTTTCATCCTCAAAGGGTTAAACGCCA